TGCCACACAAATTATTTGTACCTCTCCAAAAAAAAAAATAATAATTTTGTCCACGATAAAGGAGAACATCACAGCCTAACAACAGGAGGTGTATCACTCCTCCTGTTTTCTACCTGGAGACACCGTTTACACTGTAATCTGCCTTTGATGGTTTTGTGGCAGTACCTGTAACAATTCCATTCAATTCAACTCTATTTATATAGTGCCAAATCACAACAGTCGCCTCAAGGCACTTACACTGTAAAATCTAATTAGTTCCCAGAACTCAAAAAAAATTTGGAAACTCGTTGCCTCAAAAAAATTGAGGAAAACTTAGCTAAAAATGACTAAATTAGGACAACTTATTTATTTTGAGTACTCTGTACAAGCTCATTTGTTCCCAGAACTCAAAAAAAATTGGATCAAGTTTACGTAAGATGTAAGTTAGGGCAACTTGGGGCAACTCATTTTGAGTACACTGTTAGTTCCCAGAACTCAAAAAAATTAGGGGAAACTCGTTGCCTCAAAAGAACTAAGTAAAGCTTACTTAAGATGACTGTTAGGACAACTTATACATTGTAAGTCTGAGTATTAAGAATAACTTGATATTTCTGAATGTACAATACTAATTGTGAACCTCAGGGTAGCTATTTGGTGGATTCGACCCCCGACCTTACGATCATGGGGTGGCCACTCTGTCCACTGAGCTAATAATTCTGTGTGCACTATCATACAATATTAACTAAGACAATTATTTTAGAAAATTGTAATAATTCAGTAATTATTATGCTCATTACCTGTGTACTGTGAGGAACACTGGATTTTAAACACTAGCTGTATAAAACTTGTCCTATTAAAGGTGTGTATAGATGAGCTGAAATGCTGACTTCATGGAGAATGTTTGGTGTCAGGAAATATCAAAGGTAAAGCAGTGATCCATCCAGTCTCTTCCACTAAGCCCACAAAGGGACAGACAACCACTCTCACTCACACCTGCATGAAGTTTAGATCACCAGGTAACCTAACCGCATGTCTTTGAACAGTGGGAGGAAACTGTAGAGGACCTAGACAGAACCCACTGTAATTCTTTGGAAACACTGGTTATGGCAACCTTACAGTTAGATATGAATACTGTCAAGAAATAGGACCTGAGTGGCAATTCCAATGATGAAGCCCGGGTTTTTCCCTTCATACTGGATGAAAAAAAAGGACAGCCACAGCAGAAATTTATAATAAAAAGGAGAGTGTGCAATGAAAGTGAGATAAAAAAAAAACTGCTTGAGTTGGAGACAAGTGAACAAGCTGTAGATAATGAACCTGTCAGAGGGGCTGAAAGATCAGAGCTCATGTTCTTATTGGCTGGGTCTGGATTGTACTTTGAAAGTTACAGACAAAAATGTGTCAGAAATGCGGTAGTGAAACATTAAAACTACCATATATTTACTGAGTGACTGATGATCATCTAATTCACTATTCTTATGTTTTTCAACTGTTCTTTGAACTCAGCATTTCTGATTTATTTCCCATGATTTTAAGATTTTTATTGATTATAAGATTTTAAGCGATCATTTTTAGCAATGAGTTCATATTTACTCACAGAGCTTTGTTGGAGGCTTTGACCACTGGCAGCAGCCTCAGAAGAGCCTCCTCTGAAGTAGAGTATTTCTTAAAGTCAAACTCATCCAGATCTTCTTCTGATGACAGTAACATGAAGGTCAGAGCTGAGCACTGAGCAGGAGACAGTTTACCTGTGGAGAGACTTCCTGAAGTCCTGTATTGTTGGATCTGCTCCACTAGAGAACGATCATTCAGTTCAATGAGACAGTGGAACAGATTGATGCTTTTCTCTGCAGACAGACTCTCACTGAGCTTCTCCTTGATGTACTTGACTGTTTCCTGATTGGTCTCTGAGCTACCTCCTGTCTCTGTCAGCAGACCTCGTAGGAAAGTCTGATTGGTCTGCAGTGAAAGACCCAGGAAGAAGCGAAGGAAGAAGTCCAGGTGTCCAGTTGGACTCTGTAAGGCTTTGTTCACAGCAGTCTGGAAAAAGTGTTTCTCTGCAGATACTTCTTTCTTTGATTGTTGCTTTCTAAATAACACTGATAATTTGGAGCGTTGTTCTTCCAGCAGATTTTTTCCAGAATTGATGAAGGGGAGATGGACATGAAGCGCAGCCAGAAACTCCTGAACACTCAAATGGACAAAGCAGAACACCTTGTTCTGGTACAGTTGTTTCTCCTCTTTAAAGATCTGTGTGAACACTCCTGAGTACACTGAGGCTGCTCTGATATCGATGCCACACTCTGTCAGGTCTGGTTCATAGAAGATCAGGTTTCCTTTCTGCAGCTGATCAAAAGCCAGTTTTCCCAGTGACTCAATCATCTTCCTGCTCTCTGGACTCCAGTGTGGATCTGTCTCAGCTCCTCCATCATACTTGACCTTCTTCACTTTGGCCTGAACCACCAGGAAGTGGATGTACATCTCAGTCAGGGTGTTGGGCAGCTCTCCTCCCTCTCTGGTTTCCAGCTCATCCTCCAGAACTGTAGCAGTGATCCAGCAGAAGACTGGGATGTGACACATGATGTGGAGGCTTCGAGCTTTCTTGATGTGGGAGATGATGCTGCTGGCCTGCTCCTCATCTCTGAATCTCTTCCTGAAGTACTCCTCCTTCTGTGGGTCAGTGAACCCTCTGACCTCTGTCACCATGCCAACACAGTCAGGAGGGATCTGATTGGCTGCTGCAGGTCGTGTGGTTATCCAGAGGCGAGCAGAGGGAAGCAGGTTCCCCCTGATGAGGTTTATCAGCAGCACATCCACTGAGGTGGACTTTCTAGGGTCAGTTAGGATTGTAGTTTTGTGGAAGTCCAGAGGAAGTCGACACTCATCCAGACCATCAAAGATGAACACAACCTGGAAGTCTTCAAAGCTGCAGATTCCTGCTTCTTTGGTTTCAGTAAAGAAGTGATGAACAAGTCCCACCAAGCTGAACTTTTCCTCTTTCAGCACATTCAGCTCTCTGAAAGTGAATGGAAATATGAACTGGATGTCCTGGTTGACTTTGTCTTCAGCCCAGTCCAGGGTGTATTTCTGTGTTAAGACTGTTTTCCCAATGCCAGCCACTCCCTTTGTCAGCACTGTTCTGATTGGTTCAACTCTTCCAGGTGAGGCTTTAAAGATGTCTTCTTGTCTTATTGTTGTTTCTGGTCTGTCTGGTTTCCTGGATGCTGTTTCAATCTGTCTGACCTCATGTTCGTCATTGACGTCTGCAGTCCCTCCCTCTGTGATGTAGAGCTCTGTGTAGATCTGATTCAGAAGGGTTGGGTTTCCTGCTTTAGCAATCCCCTCAAACACACACTGGAACTTTTTCTTCAGAGCTGATTTAAGTTTATGCCGACAACGTCCAGTGCGAGTTCCTATAGAAATAAAGAAAAAAAAAATTAAGTATTTATCAAAAGGTACATGACCATTTCTTTCCTGCCCAAAATAAGTGCTTGTGAAGAATCAGGTCAAGATCTTCCAACATTATTAAATGTTTAGTTTTTCCATTAGCTGATATTTTTATAGATATCCTCTTACTGCTCAGTAGATGATCAGCCTGCTTATTCAGCTTCATTCTCTTCAGGATGGTTGCTGTGATCTTCACAAATGACTCCTTGCTATTATTATTATAGTTGAACTTTTTCATTCGTTTTGAATCGTGTTTAGGCTCACACTTTTGATATGACTCTAGAAAAACAAACAAAAACATAATAACAGATCTATCACAGCGTTATTATGCTGTTGCATGGTGTGTTTTTTTGTGTGTCTGTTTTTCGTGTGTAACTGAAGCCTTTTTTGTATTTCTTAATAATTCACCATCACATCATGTCAGATGTTTATCTAAGTTACTTCGTGAGAAATTTTAACTAACTTCATGGGAGTTAACGTAATTTTTTTCAGTATATTTAAACAGTTTGTAGACATCAAAGCCCTGTTTCTTTTTTATTTTAGCAAAACATCCTCTGAGGTAAGAATGATGCAACTAATTAGCAAAAAGAAAATAAAGAAAGAAAACATGTTTGACATAAATTACATTTATTGTAATTACAAAGTATATCCCCAAATTACAACAACTGCCACTTGAAGGCACTTTATATGGTATGATAAAGAACCTATAAAAAACAAGAAGAAGAATTAAGAATTCTAATTATATCAGTATATATAAGTCAGGAGTACTTATGCACTAAGCGTTGACTGAGAATGTGAAAGTGGATAATAAATAGGTAAAGGTAATCATCAACAGTCAACAATAAAAGCCAAACTAGAAAAAAAGTCGGTAGCAAGTAGACAGAAGTTAAAACAAATTAACTAATATAGGAAGTATGAGACAGGGGGATAATCTAAAGCTTAATGAAGATTGCATTTAAATTTAAAATTCAAAACCGAAACTAAAACAATAAACCATCAAAACAAGTACCTAGAAGTGCACAAACAGAACCACATTGTTTTGGTTTTGATTGAATTGACCGCTGCCTTTGAAACAGTAGACCACAATATTCTAATAGCTTGATTAAATGTCCTAGTGGGCATTAGTGGCACTGAAATTAAATGGTTTAGGCAGAGAGAACTTTCTCTGTGAACCTTCTTAGTTCTGATTTATCTGCTGCTTGTCAGTCATGTGGCCTACCAGGGGGTAGCATTTTAAATGGACTGATTCATATATACTCCTTCTCTACTCTCCCAGAATACTCAAGCAACAAAACAGAGGTGAAAATGTTTGGGCCTAATGGCCCATATGAGTCCTTTTTTGTTGCTTTGAGAAGTATATTTTAAACCTATTATTACGGACCTTGGGTTTTTATCATTTTAGGCATTTTAGGCAACAGGCAGCAGTGAAATGTTTTCTTTCAAGTTCAACATTTTTTATTTGTTACACACACAGCACAACATGTGATTTCTAGGCAGCACTTTTGAAACAATGATCCATACTTGTTACGCAGTGAGGGGCGGTGAAGGAAACAGACTTAACTCTATCTTAATTAAAGTAATTGTTTTATTATCTCTTGCCAACATCATACACATGCAGACAGCAACTTTTCAAAATGGCCCCCAATCCATTTCCTGCTCCCTTTAAATACTCTAAAGACACACCTTCTTAATACACACTGGCCTATAAAAGAGCTGCAATTGAGGCAGGCTTCCTCTTTACTGGGAAAACAAGATGGCCACCACAAAGGTAACCTGCAACGCTTTGTTACTTAAATGCTTCCCAACATTACTCACTACCCCCCCCTTCTGGTCGACACATCTCCGGCAAACGGGAAAGATAGTCAGCAATAAGATTGTTCTTACCCGGACAATGCTGGACGGTGAACTGGTATGGCTGGAGGGATAAGCACCAGCGCAGTATCCTCGCATTCTGATGTTGCTTGGAGTGCATCCACACCAGGGATCGGTGATCCGTCTGAAGAATAAATTCTCTTCCAAGGAGATAATATTTCAACGAATCAATTGCCCACTTAATTGCCAGTCCTTCTTTCTCTACTGTAGAATAGTTTTTTTCCCTGTCAAACAGCTTCTTACTTAAGAAAAGCACAGGTTTTTCTTCACCAGCTCCTCCTTGAGCCAGCACTGCTCCAAGTCCAACATTAGAGGCATCTACCTGTACAACAAATGGTTTGGAAAAATCCGGGCTTTGCAAAACAGGGGCTTCAGAAATCTGTCTCTTTAAACATTGGAAGGCATGTTCACAGTCGTCATTCCACATCACTTTAGAAGCGTGTTTTCTCGTTAGATCTGTAAGAGGGGCTGCCAAGGTTGAGAAATGGGGAATAAACTTCCGATACCAGCCAACCAAGCCCAGAAACGACCTCACTTGCTTTTTGGTTTTAGGTCTGGGAATTGTTTGTATAGCCTTTACCTTTTCAACTTGTGGCTTTATTTGTCCATGGCCAACAATGTATCCTAGATACTTCACCTCTTCTTGTGCCCAGGCACACTTGCTCACATTCAGAGTCAAACCAGCCTCCTGGATCTTTGCCAACACAACCTTTAGATGCTGCAGGTGTTCCTCCCAAGACTCACTGTAAATCACCACATCATCCAGGTAGGCAGCTGCAAACTTTGAACAACCATTAAGGATAATGTCCATCAACCTTTGAAAAGTTGCAGGTGCCCCATGAAGACCAAAGGGCAACACGGTGTACTGAAATAAGCCCATTCCTGGAATTTGGAAGGCTGTGTATTCTTTACAGGACGGCTCTAAGGGCACTTGCCAGTAACCCTTACACAAATCTAAGGTTGTAATGTATCTGGCCTTTCCTAGTCTTTCCAGTAGCTCATCAATCCGTGGCATTGGATAAGAATCAAAACAGGAAATACTATTTAGCTTTCTCATGTCTGAACAAAATCGTAGTTGAGGGGAGTCTTTCTTTGGAACAGGTACAATGGGGTTTGACCACTCACTCCTTGAGGGCTCAATCACTCCCAGTTCCAGCATCATCTGAACCTCCTTCCTCAACGGTTCCACCATCCGTTCTGGTATCCTGTAAGGCTTAAGATGAAGAGGTTTTGTGTCTTTCAAGATGATGTTATGTGTTAGGACATTTGTTCGCCCCGCATGTCTAAGAACAAAGATGGAAAGGATTGCCTCACCTCATTCAACTGTTGCCACTGATCTTCAGTCAGATGTTCAGGAGGGTCTTCAGATTCGGGCATGCCTCTGAATGGGCTCATCTCAGCTTCTCCAACCTCTAGAATGCCACTGTCTTCAGGCCGAACATCTTGTACCATCAGGATTTGCTTCACACCTGGTTCTGGGGCGTTTCTTTCATGATACTCTTTTAACAAGTTTACATGTAGCAGTTGCTTTGATTTGTGTTTCTCTGGACAAATGTGTCTCATATGTCACTGGGCCGGTTTTTCTGGCCACAGTATAAGGTCCTTGCCACTTAGCCAGCAACTTACTTGGTCCAGTAGGCAAAAGTACCAAAACTTTTTGACCAGTCTTTAGTTCTCTCTCACAGGCATGCTTGTCATACCATACCTTTTGCTTTTGCTGCGCCTTCTGCATATGGTCTCTAACCTGTTCTCTGTATGTTTCCAGTTTGTCTCTCATCTGCAATATGTAGGAAATGATGTTCATCGCCACTTCAGTAGACCCCGGTGCCACTCCAGCCACCCAGTTCTCTTTCAGCATATCCAGGGGGCCTCTAACCTGCCTTCCATAGAGCAGCTCAAAAGGGGAGAAACCAGTTGAAGCCTGTGGTACTTCTCTGTATGCAAACAACAGAAAAGGCAACCATTTATCCCAGCCTTTGCCAGTATCATCAATAAACTTTCTCAACATTTGCTTTAATGTACCATTAAATCGTTCCACCAGACCGTCCGTTTCTGGATGGTAGGGAGTAGTTCGAATACCTTTTACCCCAAGTTGGTCATAAAGAGACTTTATCAAATGTGACATAAAACTGGTACCCTGATCTGTCAGGATCTCCTTTGGAACGCCAACTCTGGAAAAAAGGTCTACTAAGCATCGAACAATGTGTTTGACCTGCAGAGAACGCAGTGGATAAACATCTGGATATCTTGTGGCATAATCACAAATGACTAATGCATATTTATGACCACTACTGCTCTTAGGTAAAGGACCTATGATATCCATAGCTATTCTCTCATAAGGTACATCCATTATTGGTAATGTTTGCAACGGGGCTCGGTCTGAAATTTTGGTAGGAGCCACTTTCTGACATTCATGACATGTTTTGCAGTAGTCAACCACATCTTTGTACAATCCTGGCCAGTAAAAACGTTGAGCAACACGATTGTAAGTCTTTGCCTGTCCTAAATGTCCTGACCATGGTACAGTGTGGCCCAAATGCAGGATTACTGATCGGTACTCTTTTGGTACAACAAGTCTGGGTTTCTCCATGTCCGCTAGATACAGAAGTTTATCCTTTATTATAAAAGGTTCTCCAGTTACACTTTTAAGCCCTACATCATTTTCTTTTCCATCATCCACGTTGCATGCTTTCTTAAAGAGAGGTTTTAAAGATGAATCATTTTCCTGTCTTTCTCTAAAATTATTGGGAAACTCCCACTGAAGATCAATAGGTGGAGACATTGGTACGGTTGGTTCCGGAAATTTTGCCCTACCCCTGTTGTTATTTTTCTCCTGCCTACGTTGTCGTTTTGTTTTCCTGATTTTACTCCTTACTTCAAATAAGTCATCATCTACATCTGGCAGTGGTTCTAAACCCCTTTTCAATGAACAAGTGACAACAGCACAAGAATAGGCTTCAGAGTTATTGAGAACCAAACTGTCTAAAATTGGTAAGTCTTCTCCCAGAATGACATCATATGCTAAATGATCCAACACTCCTACAGTTAACATAAATGCTTGTCCCTCAAGTTCAATAGTGACATCTGCTGTTGGATAATCTTTTTGACACCCATGAACACAAGTAATATTTACAGGTTTGTTAAAGTCAGGTAATACATTGCTCAACATAGAAGATTTAACCAAGGTTTGTGAGCTACCAGTGTCAGCAAGAGCCTTTACTGTTTGGCCATTTATTGAAACATCTACCACATGTTTATGTGGCACTAAACCTTCACCAGTAAGTTCCCCCTCAAGACCTGTGGAGGGAACTACACACAACTCTACTGACTTTGGTTTTCTTAGGGGACATAAAGAAGCTTTATGACCAGGCTGCTGACAGTAATAGCAAATGAGGTTGTACCTTTGA